GCTATGATTTTTTTTTTTTTTTTTTTTTTGCATTTGTACTCAATTTTGTCAAATTCAACGGAAAACATCTGATGTCTAGGTTTGAAATGCAGGCCCCAATTTTGTTAATTTTTTTCAACCACTCCTTGAAATGCAGCCCATCTATTTGTGATGAAAGTGTGGAAAGAATTAAGAGCAAATGTTGTATTCGATTTCTCATTGACATAGGCCTTGTTTGGGAATAGTGTTTTCGATTAGCATTTGTGTTTTTGATAAAATTTTAATGTTGTGGATTAATTCTGAAAACGCCTACGCTAAAGGCTGCCGTCGGATAGCCTTTTGAAAAGGCTAACCTCTAACACTGATGCGAAACGGGGCCATAGACTTGCAATCAAGAGTTGTTTTGTTATCCAATTGTTTATTGAATTGAAAGATGTGGTGTGCTTGATATAACATAGAACTGGCATTGAGAATTTACTGCTTTCTGATTACCCCTATCCTCTGAAGTCTGCCTATATCTTATGTTAATGTATGAAGGTTAATTTAAAAAAAAAACCAGTACTCATAAATGGGTACGGCATGTTTGGCTCTCGCGGGTGTAAACTTGGTAGTGTTTGTGTCAATAGTATGATAATATGATTTTTGGTTTTTGACTTCCAAAATCAATAAATGTAGAGAGCATGTTCTGGTAACAGGTAAAGACACAGGCTAGGATTGTGGAAGGAGATGCCGGTAAGGCTATATGCAAGGAAGCAGAAAGGTTGAAGCCTGTAGCTGTGGTTATGGGTACTAGAGGAAGAGGCTTAATCCAAAGGTATACTATTTATGCATTCTCCTCCTCTAAAAGGCTACTCTTTCGGAACTCGGAAATTGGTCGGGTAAGGAAAAAGAAACTAAACATTTAAACAAAAATGAGTTTGAACAAACAACTTAGTTATGGAAGGTGAACATGGCATGTCCTTGAGATCAGAGTTTCCTTCCATTTTTTCTGGAGCCTTTTGCGAGTTCCAAACGGATCCCAAATGTTATTATCTCATTTGTCTGCATTTATCATGTCATGCCTAGGTTAATTTATGTTTTTCATTTCAGCGTCTTGCAAGGAAGTTTTAGCGAGTATTGCTTTCGCAACTGTAAAGCAGCGCCTGTGATTATAGTGCCTGGAAAAGGTATATCATTTAGAACCAACCATGTTATGCTATATTGTTTGCTTTTTGCAAGTTTACATGTTTGGAAACTAGAATTGCAAATCTATGTCTCCCATTGTCATTTGAAATTCAAGAATTCAAATTTTGGAATTGAAATGCTAGTTCCCAAACACTACCTTATGGAATTTATTAAAACTATAAGATTTCCGTGCAAACGACAGATGCTGGAGATGAATCAGTGCTTTAGAGGACCCGACTTTCAAAGTCCCAACACACGATTCCGTGATCGATGAGATGAATCGTGTGTGCGTGTGTATACATGGAGTGATGGAAGATTTATCAATGTATTAGTGCATCATTGTGTGTATGGTAATATGGTTTTATACGTGTCATATAATGTATCTATTCGATTAAGATTGTTTCTTTCAACCACTGAACTCTGTGCAGTTTTTATCGTGTTTGCATGTTTTATTCTACGAATTTTCTCTTGTAAACAAAATCTCCGAATGTGTGCATATATATTTTGTTATGAATACAACTAATCATTACTCTGTATAAATTTTTTATCCTCAAACAAGGATGTCATTAATTGTACTCCTAATAATTAGCTATCAACGAATAAATTTAAAGGAATGATCATTTTAAAATATTGAATGTGCAAAAGTCAAAGTACATTACCATGTTTAATGGACTAATCTCCGCATTAGTATTGATTACGTATATGTGCAAACGAAATTAGTAAGCAAATTCATTGGGAAAATTATTTGGCGGTCGACGGTGGTATGCCATTTTTAAAAATTTGGTTCGGTATGAGATTAATATTGTATGAATTCTGACCTTGAAATATCGATTTTGATATACAAATAAGTATAGATAAATTCGAATGTAATTTACACCTTAAAATGTAAAAACACATTTTTTTTGAAACATGAAAGACACATTAGCCGATAAGTTAATGCAGGAAATGCTTACGAAATTTAGTTATTCACAAACTAAAGATAACTTCCAACCCCAGCTGGATTGTTGTTGTAAACTAAAGATAATAAAATAATATTTTACATGTTTTTAAAATATTTTTTAAATTCATCTATAAAAAAATTTACGGTCCTGCTAGGGGTACACCACTTGGTGTACCCCAAATGAACACCATATACACCCCCCCTCATTCCATAACCAACCCTACCCTCATCTCTCCTCCTCACTCTTTCTTCCTCCTCAGATCCATGAACTCCCTCCCTCCCTGCGGATGATCGACGCAGCACCAGGTAACATCATTTCCCTTTCTCACTCATTTTCTCTTCCTCCATAGATCTCGCATCTCTTTTCCTCCCCACCGGTCGATTAGCTTCATCTTCGGCACCCCTTGAAGTTGCACGCCGTGGGCTCCCCGCAGCCGCCTAGAAGCGTCACAACGGCGCCATCATCATCATCGTCGTCACCGGAGTAGTAAATTATGGCAGAGATGGTGGTGCTGTTTTATTCAGATTACACAAATAGTAAATGTCTGTGTTCAAAAAAATAAGGACATTTAGTGTATGTGTGACTAAATAGTATTAATTGTAATTTTTCTTTTCTTTTTTAAACGTAGAAAAATTTGTGAAATGTTCTTGGTACTGTACTATTTCATAGATTTGAAGGGTGAAATTTTCTTCTAAATT